TCTGCTCCGTCTGCCACCAAGACGGACTCTGGCTTCCCAGTTCCTCCTTGAACTGCTGCCTTTCGTTTTCTTATTCAGCGAACCAGTGGGCTCAGCACGAGCCGTCGGGCTCCACGGCTCTCGCTCCATGTCCCTCCCGTCTCCCCAGTGCCAGGGATGCTGCCCCAGGCCCGGCTCTTCCTCCCCATTGTCCCTCCCCTGCTCACCACAGGGGAACATTCTAACCACGGCACTGCCAAGCATGGTGGGGCTCTTCATCCACCTGCCACCATGGAGGGGGTCCCCACTGCCAGCCAGCCAGCTGGTGACCCCATTCCAAAGTCTATCGTGCAGTCTGCTGGCCAGGACCACTTTCAGCCCAAATGCTCTGAGACTCAGTTCCCTGGAAACGCTGAGACAGAACTGCAGGCAGAGGCCGTGGGGAGGCCTCGCAGGAGATGCTCCTGTGCGCACAGGAGGAGGCACGATTGGGGGGTGTGGGGGGCGAGGTGACCCTTCCTGCAATGAGCTCTGCAGCTGCATGGCCCTTCAGTGTTGTCCCAACCTGTGGCCAGGGACTCCAGCTTTGGTGTTGCTGTATGAGCAGACCACTGGCTATGGGCAGCCCACCAGGACGGGGACTGAATCTGAGGTAATGTCGTTCCCTGGGCTGCAGGCACTGACCCACGAGGGGTCCAGACTGGAGCCAGGAGCGGCCAGCACCCCCAACAGCAGGGGACCGGTGTGTGGTCCTCAATAGGGAATCTGGGCGGAGCAGCACCGTGTCCACCACAGCTTCAGCCTTGGGGCCTCGCCTGTGACTGGCCCTAGGTCTGGGGCGGGGCCCTATCAATGTATTCACATGGCCACATATATTGTTAAATCAGCACAATAAAATTTTTGTATTTTTATTTTATTTATTTATTTTTTTTAAAAAAAAGATGACCAGTAAGGGGATCTCAACCCTTGACTTGGTGTTGTCAGCACCACGCTCAGCCAGTGAGCCAACCGGCCATCCCTATATGGGATCAGAACCCGTGGCCTTGGTGTTATCAGCACCACACTCTCCTGAGTGAGCCACAGGCCAGCCCTACCTAATGAAATGTTTTTATATTCTGTTTCTGAAAAGATACTCCTAAATTGTATTAGCAAGCACAAAGCCCCACTAATGCTAGATCTGCCCCCACAAGTCAGGACAAGTGGAACCCATGCTTGTGTGGTGGATGACAGTGGCCTTCCAAGATGTTCCTAATCCCTGCACCCTGGGACTATGTTACGTTCCGTGGCAAAAGGGACTTTGCAGGTGTGATTAAGTGAAGGGTTTGAGAGGTTTGACCAGGAGGAGCCAATGGAATCACAAAGGCCCTTAGAAGAGGGAGGCAGGAGAATCAGAGGCAGTGGTGGGAGCTGTGACAACAGAAGCAAGAGGCTGGCGTGATGGGAGGAAGGAAACACGAGCCGAGGGGTGCAGGAAGCCTCCTGAAGCTGCAAAAGGCGGGGAAATGCCTTCTGCCCTGAAGCCTGCAGCAGGAACAGGCCCTGCTGCCACCGTGACTGTAGATCTCTGACTTTCAGAGCTGTGCGAGTATAAATTTGCAGTGTTTTGTTTGTCCTTTTTGCTTAGGTAATTAAAAAAAATTTAATCGTGGAAAATGCACATAAAATTAACCTGCTTATCCATTTTAAGTGTACAGTTCAGTAGCATTAAGTGCATTCACACTATGGTGCAACCAATCTGTGTAACTTTTTCATTTTGCACAACCGACTTCTGTACCTATTAAACGAAAATTCCCCATTTGCCCTCCCCTCAACCCCTGGCAACCACTACTCCAGCCTCTGTCCCTATGAGTTTGAGCTGTCTATGTACCTCACATAAGTGGAACCATATAGTATTTGTCCTTTGTGACTGGCTTATTTTACTTAATGTCTTCATGATTCATTGGTATTGTAGCATGTGTCAGAATTTCCTTCCTTTTGAAGACTGAATAATATTTCATTGTGTGTACTTTCCACATTTTTTTATCCATTCACCCATTAAGGGAAAATTTGAGTTGTTTTATGGCACTGATTTTGTGGTGATTTGTTACAGCAGCCATAAGAAACTAATACAGGCTGGAAACGTCCAATTTCAGATAGAGTTTAGTGAAAATACATATGCTTTTTTTCTGCCCTTCCAAATTCATAGGCCAATCCTGAATTTGGCCAGGTTAGAAACCCTGTCCCTCAGGACTGTCCTCATCTGCACAGCAGAGTCTGGCTTTCAGGGAAATATAGGTTCCAAGCTGTGGGAAGGGGAAATAGAAACCACATGCTCTGTTTTAAAGCCTAGATTTTGGTGAGGGGTAGTCACTGGTTACTCCTAGCATAAGAGGATGCTAGAAAATGTGGTCTTGGTTTTGGTGGCCAACATCAGTCTCCATGACTAGTACTGAGGAAGGAGGGGCCAGGAGGTTTTGGCGATCTTGGTGAGGGGTAGTCACTGGTTACTCCTAGCACAAGAGGATGCTAGAAAATGTGGTCTTGGGTTTGGTGGCCAACATCAGTCTCCATGACTAGTACTGAGGAAGGAGGGGCCAGGAGGTTTTGGGGGACAAGGCGAAGTCAGCCCTCAGGTCCCCTCAGGGGACTCCCTAGGCAGGCAGCAGTCAGGTGACAAAGAACTCAGCCAAGTGTCCTCAAGAAACTCAATACTACTGAAGGCAGGAGGTGCAGGGATTAAGACCTGGGTGTGAAACAAAACACATTCTGCCCTTAGCACTTCTCTGCTGTGTAAACTTGGCTGAGTCTCTTAACCTCTCTGAGCTTCAGCTTCCTCGTTTTCAGGGTGGAAGAAAGCACGGCACCTACCCCAGAGGGGCTGTGACATCTCACTGTTCTCATGCGTGTGAAGCCTGCGGGGCCAGGCAGTGCCAGGGAGAGAGCCTCACCATTGTGTTCACTTTTCACCGGCTCTTCCCACTGTCCGGGTTCTGTCCCCCCAGTGTCCTCATGGCTCCCTTCCTCCCTCCTTCAGGTTTTCAATCAGATGTCACTTCAATTGTCTTACAGAGTGCAACCCCTTCTCTGCACACTCAGCTCCATCTCTTGCTTAATTTTTCTCGAAGCACTTCTTCTAACTGACATCACATGTGTTTCACTTATTACTTTGTTATCATCCCCCCTCCCACTGGAATGCCAGCCCCACAAGGGGCAGGGGCTTCTGTGTGTTTTGTTCACTGCTGAATCCCCAGTGTCTAGAACAGTGTTGGCCCGTACTAACTGCTCAGTAAATACTTCTTGAATCAATTATTGATTAAGTGAATGAAAAAAGGACTTGGTCAAAATCAATCCGGTGCCTTTGTAGCCTTCAGATGTCCCTAAAGTCCTCAGCAGACACTTTCGTTCCCATACCCTTCCCCCATTATACTGGGTGGGGAGGACCACGGAGGCCTGTCTTTTTCTTCATGCTCTTCAGTCATGGCTTTACTGACTCTCCTGTCCTCCCACCCCATAGTGCTCTCTACCTGGGTGGTCTCCCCTCCCCTAAGCAGCCTCTATCTAGGAGTCCCCAGCCCCCTCATGGAAATACTTCCCGGGTGTCCCCAAACCCAACCCCCTCCATATTTGCACAGCCTGCAGACAGAGAAGCCCCCTACCCCACCCCACCCTCTCAGAGCACCTATGGTCCCCCTTGCTGGCTGAAGCTACCCCAGTCCCAAGATTGACCTGTTCAGGAAGTCAGCTTCCCATGGGTGACCACAGAGGCCGAGCCTGTGTCAGTTTCTTTTCCCCTGGGCTCACCTGGCTCACCTGGCCATGCTCCTATGCTGGACTTCTCCAGCCTGGGGCTTCCCCAGGTGGCCAGTGCCAACCTCAGGCCGAGTTTTCCTACATCAGCAGGACTGCCCTTCTGCCCAGGCTAAACGTTGCACTTTGAAGCTTGGGTGGGAATGATATCCCAGATGGAGCTGGAAATTTAGAAACACAGTGGAACACAGAGCAGTAGGCTGAGATCCAGAAGAGGAGCCAGACTCTGAATGAGATTAGGTGAGAGCCCCTGGGCAATAAAGCTGAGGAGGAGACTGTGTCCTCCTGGCAAAAGGCTCAGGAGCCAGGAATGAAGCTAGGTGAGGTGCAGGCCTTAGGAGAGTGAAGGAGATCTCTGTGGGTCCCTCCTGCTGTGGGCTACTCTCCACGCCTCCCTCAGCGTTCAGGCTAATTCTGTTGAATGTGGACTCCACCCTTCCTGCACTGGGCTAAACTCCACCCTTCCTGCACTGGGCTAACCTCCACCCTTCCTGCACGTGGCTAACCTCCACCCTTCCTGCACGGGGCTAACCTCCACCCTTCCTGCACGGGGCTAACCTCCACCCTTCATGCACTGGGCTAGCCTCCACCCTTCCTGCACTAGGCTAGCCTCCACCCTTCCTGCACGGGGCTAACCTCCACCCTTTCTGCACTGGGCTAACCTCCACCCTTCCTGCACTGGGCTAACCTCCACCCTTCCTGCACTGGGCTAACCTCCACCCTTCCTGCACTGGGCTAACCTCCACCCTTCCTGCACTGGGCTAACCTCCACCCTTCCTGCACTGGGCTAACCTCCACCCTTCCTGCACTGGGCTAACCTCCACCCTTCCTGCACTGGGCTAACCTCCACCCTTCCTGCACTGGGCTAACCTCCACCCTTCCTGCACTGGGCTAACCTCCACCCTTCCTGCACTGGGCTAACCTCCACCCTTCCTGCACTGGGCTAACCTCCACCCTTCCTGCACTGGGCTAACCTCCACCCTTCCTGCACTGGGCTAACCTCCACCCTTCCTGCACTGGGCTAACCTCCACCCTTCCTGCACTGGGCTAACCTCCACCCTTCCTGCACTGGGCTAACCTCCACCCTTCATGCACTGGGCAGGCTCCTGCCCTTAGTGCAGGGGGCCACTCACATCCCCTTGCAGGGGAGGAGCCTCTGTGCACCTCCTGGGAGTGAGCCTCCCCTCCGCTGCTGTCAGCCATCCTCCAGCCCTGCTAGAGATGTTTAACCTTCACACCCTGCACCCGCTCTGCAGGAAGCGTTGCTCTTGCTGAAGGACTGCACGTGCGGCGCCCGCCTCTTCCCCAGGACCTGGGGCCTGAGGCAGCTGCAGGTGAGTCGGGAGAGTCAAGCCCAGCCCCCCCCCCCCCCCCCCCCCCCCCCCCCCC